TAAATCTTGCGTCATTCTAAGCCAATTGGAGGCTTTGTGGAAAGATGGGGTCCTCCTTTATCTTTGCGAGAGAGAACGGTAGCTCCGGACTACAGTAGCTTAGCCTGGAGTCCAATTACATTTTATATGATTTTCAAACAGCGATAACATTCTCAGATAGCGGTAATGGTTCACTTAGAGTTGGTGTTACGCTTTTACTTCAAATATCAACCTAATAAGATAACCCAGTATCCAATACAGAGCTACCATTAAGTAATAATTGTCATGTTCGTAGCAACTCGAAACCTCCGTGGACAACGCACAACCACTCTGTGGAACCAGCTGCCGCCGGCGGTCTTTCCGAACCGTTACGACCTGGGAACCTTCAAGAAGAGAGCATACTCTTTTCTAAAAGGCCGGCAACGCATTTGTTAGCCCTCGGGTGTTGCAGGTGTTCATGGGCGGCGGTGATCACTTACCATCAGGTGAGCCTCCTGCTCGTTTGCCCCTTTTCTTCATAAAAAAAACAACGCACAGCAATTCTCGATTAAAGAGTTATGTTATTACGTATTTATTTAAAAGTAATATGGTAAAAAGAAGCAAAAACAATTTTACGAAACTTTCCCTCACGGACCGTGAGTCGTCCTTTTAAAACTTTTCTAACATATTGAGAACGTCGAGGAAATTAATAAAGTTGAAATGGACGAGCGTCGTACGTCGAGCTGATGTTATTAACGCAAAACTTGTGAGGTTGCTTGTTACCTCTTTATAATAGATTAACGTAATTTAAGATTAACGTAACTTAAATAAAATGTTTTTGCCAATGATCAGAATGATCAATTCGAATAGTTTAACCATCTTCTTGGCAACTGAAATGACCTTTGAAAAGCCGTTTGACAGCTGATTAGTTAACTTCTACGATGATCAGTGTTTCAGAAACCGGGCATTTCGATGCACTTGTACGATATGTAGTTTTAGGAGAAAATCAATAAATTTTTTTTAATCATACTGATATCGAAAATGTTACTGCTTTTCCATTAATTAATTAAACGATCATAAGTTTACTTATGACTACCTTCCGGTAGATTGCAACCACAAAGGCGGTAGCAGTCTGTACGGTTGACGCGTATTCACATCTATTTGTACGCAGTCCACTTCTAGCTTAGCTTCATTCCCCCCCTCCCCACTTCGCTGGCGTTAAATATAACAATGAATCAACTTCATTGAAGCCGGCGCATGAAGTCATCGCGTTATTTAAATGCCTTTACTCGGACGAATTAACTTCTATCGGCCTCTTACGATCTCATTGACCCGTGGCAGCATTTTTTATTCGGTATATTTTTAAAAATTAACATTCCAACAGATACATTGAAAAGAAACACACACACACAAATTTTGTTACCCACTTTACGCCACTGAAATGTAGTCAATGCGAATATAAACCTAATGTGCAAGGCAAAAGGTGATATTTAGAATGTGGGTACTAGAATTCAAGCTTGCCTCATGTACAACGCGTTTTCCGTCAAGGTGGCAGGCGAGCTGGCGGTTCACCTGATGTTAAGTGATAATCGGTAAAAAGGAGATAATGCTCTACAAGAAAGCGGGAAAGTTAGCTGCAACTGTTAGCTGCCGTGAAAGAAGTTCTATTTAGGTAGATTTTACCAATTATTTAACGGTGGTAGAGCCTCGCAGCGGACTCGGCTGAATGGGCAGGCTCGTCCGGGTAAGTACCACGACCTCACAGAAGAACGGCGTAAAGTGGAAGTATGACAAATACTTTCGCGTTTCGTCTGGTGAGTGAGGTAGCCGGAGCCCAATTTCCAAAAAGGTTGTCAATTAATTTAATGTAATCTCTTTGTGCCCTGAATCTTGAATGAAGAGAAAATCGAATCGAATCATCGAGCAATACTAAAACTGTAGATTCTAAGTGATCTTCTTATCTGTGTGTAATAAATGTGTGTAGAATTCTCTTTGCACTAGCCACATTTTACACAACTCTCTTCTATTGTTTTTATGGGAAATTGTTAGGCGAGTTAGCGGTTCACCTGATGTTTGATGTATAAACAATCATTATTACATTAATAATTATGAATTGATCGCTCTAGGCTCTTCCGAGTGGACTTTAGTGTATTTTAAACGTGCTTTAAAATATTATATATGTCGGAGATTCGGTGGTTCACATAGGACAACATATAAATAACATATTTTTAAACTCCCGCTGAGTTTCTTTCGCCGCTTCTTCTCAGGTCAGTGGCTTTCCTTTTCCGAACCGGTAAAAAGCTGTAGTAGTAGAGTTTTGACAATCAATAAGTATAGATGTATGTTTGTTAGTCTATATTGAATAAAAATATTTTTAAACATTTTTTTTCTAGTTAATATCTCTTCTTAAACTGTCATGCGTTACCTGACAGGCCGTCTATTAACAGCCAAACTCCATCATTCCGCTATCAGTTTACTATTGAAAATTGAAAGTGCAGAGATTAGCACTATAAAAAAAAAATTCTAAGAAGCAATGGCGACATCTCTCGTTCGAATTATCGTTGAAAAACGATATTGACATACTTTGTATGTTGGAAAGGATATACAAATTGATGCGCCAAGCATTCTAAAGCTAAAAAACAATGTAGATAAAAGACGTTAAGATTTTCGTCGAATGCCGAACGAAGCGTGGGTTCGATTCCCACAGCGGCGACAATCTTTTCGTACTTTTTCTGGAAATTTAATGTTTAAAGTTTACTATTGACTAAGGTCACGAACTGAATGTGTAACTTCCGTCTTACAAGATCGAAAAAGATAAACGACAACCATCAGTTAATTTTCCTAATCTAAAGAAAGAAAGTAAATCGACAGAGATTAGAACTGATAAAACCTTTGTATTTAGTAAAATAGTAAGTTCCCTACTGAACTATCAGGATTGGTAGTTTGATTGTATTAGAATTTTCAAATATGTACATAACTATCTATGTAAAGATTAGATACACGCGAATTTGACATTTGTGTTGAAGGCCGTTGAGATCAAATTTCGGTAAAAGTGAGAAAACGTGGTAGATGTTTTTTCTGATAGTTTAAGTAATTTCGATAACGATGTTGAATATCGATCCCTCGGATATTGCATTAAGGGGAAGGTAGATAATCAGCTGATTACGGGTTCCACCTTTATATCATCCCAGTATTCAAAACATTCATTTATTTAAAAAAATATGCAAATAAAAATTAAGGCGGACTTTATGCCAATAAGATTTTCTGCCAGTCAACCTAATGGGTGATCAAGAGAAGTTGAGGTAGGAGCACGAATAAAATAAGAGAAACGAATACACATAAATAAGAGAAAACTTGTACATATTAAATATCATAACCTACTAAGCACGATAATTAGATACAAAACTACACTAACATATTAATGAATATACTTACAAACAATAATATGTACAAAAAATCATACATGAATAAATACATACTTTCATATATACATATAAAAGTGGACAGATTCTGCCAATACCTTTTTGAGTAAGTGCTCGCAACCTTTATTTTTAAATGCGAAGCGAGTCGACATTTCTTAGCCTTTTATCTTCTTTTTTTTAAGTGAAAAGTTGCCAAACGAGCAAACGGTTCACCTGATGTTAAATGGACGGCGGGCCCATGGATATTTTTATTTATTTATTTATAATTTATGTACAGAGAGTGATGGCAGCGATGTAAATAGATGAAATAATTTGTACAAAGGCCCTGCTTATTTCATAAGAAATCCCGAGGGTTTGCAGATGCGTTGACAACCTTTTTGGAAATTGGGCTCCGTATTTCCGTATTACTGGGAATTTTCGTATTCCACAGAAGAATAGATTGGATGAATTGATTGCAGAAGATAAGAAGAGAATATATTAATATGAGAATAGACTAAAATAGGCTACCAATTATATTCTGCAAGTTCAAATCGCGAATATAGTACTAAACAAAGAAATTTTGGCTTAAGACTGAATCTTTGCCAACTTGTTTGCATGTTGTGGGGTTCGATTCTCACGCGGGACACAAACTCATGCGATGCAAAACACAAATTGTTGGTCAGTCTGGGTGTGCGTTAGTTTGTTTTCGACTTTTCATTGGGTGAGAAGTGTGACGCAGGAGGCTAGTAAGGGAGTCGTTTTTCTAAAACAGTAATGTTACAAATGCGAGTAGTAAAGTAAGTAGAGATGCAGCGCGCACGCAACACGCACCTTGAATGTCAACCGTGAATCGAGCAACAAACGTCGTACGACATTATAGACTACATAGAGATAATTATAGACTATTAATTGGCGACGAAGAAGTTTAATAGAATCGAGAACAAAAATTGAAATCTCATTACACTACTGGGAACCGAACACCAAACTGAGCAACTACTGACTCACATAAAAGCGAAGCCTTGAATTCTTCGGCGTAGTAAATATTATGTACCAAATGGACGTACTAGCATTTGGATTAGTAAAAGTTAGTCGCGCGGTGACCTTGCTCAGAACGTTGCTCCACGATATAACGCAGAGACAGAATAGCATTTGATTCGTCAAAATTATCAAAAGCGATTCGGTTTTGAACACGGCTATGTAATAAATAATTTCAATTTGTTCGGTACAACCGGAGGTACAAGCATAAATGGCCAGTACAAATACGATAAGTAAATACAACAAAAAATATATTTTTTTTTAATTTTCCGACAGGAGAAAATAGTAGAGTATTAGCACGAGTATTAGGCTTACATCGCAGTTCGAACAATATTCAAATCAAAAAAAGGAGCTTTTTAACGACGCACAACATAAAAAAGTATTAATTATTTTTTATCGACCAGACCACCCGCGATTTGTATAAACCTTTTTAATGCGAGGGCAAGTGGACGCGGTTAAATGCGAAAGCAGAACCGGAGTAATCGATTGCAAAAAAAGAACGCCCCGCGAGACGCGCGTGCGTCTGTTGCCAGCGTGTTGCCAGATATTAAAAAGTAAAAAAATGCATAGAGCAAACAAAGGAATAGAGCCAGCCGGCCCACTCACCCGGCGAAGTGACCTTGTTGGGGCGTTCCTCAGTCTTATTGTCGTCCTGGAAGCGTACGGTCATCGGCTTCTTCTTCACCCTGAGCTTGTCGTCCTCCGGCGACAGGATTGACGCGCGCTTCTTCGGACGGTCCTCCTCCGACTCGCGCTTGAACTCGGTCGCCGCTGCGGTGGTTGCTTGATGGGATTAAAAAAAAACAAATGTTAAAATATAAACTCTGCCTTGAAAAAAAAAAAAAAAAAAAAAACAAAAAATAAGAAACATTTCTAATCCAAAGCCAACATGTAAAGTTGTTTTTTTTTAAAAATATTTCATGATTAATTAACATTTTTCTATTCACCGTTCGTGAGATGTCACCTAATTGTGTGTGATTAAAATTGAAATCAGGTTTCAAACTTTGACCAACGGCAAGGCAAGCACTGGCAAGGCTTAATTTCATAAAAATGTTTGTTTCTTGTGTTTTTTACTTATTTCTGAATCCATATTTACTATATACATATATATTTAATACTAACATTATGGGTTTAACATTATTAGTATAATAGCGAAATAAAGAAAGGCACAGGGTGTGAATTTAAGCTCAGTTTTGGCTATATGGATCGTATAATGGATAGAATAATATAATAGAAATATTGTATAGTCTCTACGTTAACTGCTGTCACGTTGTAGGTTCGATTCCCACAAAGTATTAAAAATTAACACACCTACATATAGTTTCGCGCCTGTATACACACAGTGGCCGTAAGTGCTTTACGTTTTCGAAGCCCCCACGACAGGGAAACCACTACGAGATTAAAAAAAAAAGGCTAAAGTAAATCAATGTCAGACATCAAAGAGACATTTCCGTCCGATAGCTCAATTAGTTAAACGCGCGGTCACAATTAATTAATTTGTCGCGGAGAAACAAGTTTAAGTCGACCATGTGGAGTATTAAGGCCCATTTACACGGTGCAAGTTTCTTGCCTGTAGTATACAATTAAATTGAAGCAATAAATGAGTTGCATGGTCTAAACAACAAATGGTCTAACAAATTATTGCGCGCAATGTATTGCATTCAATTATTGCTCTTGTATGTACAAGAAAATGGCATCGTGTAAATGGGCCTTTATTCGCGAAATTCACGCACGCGACTGGATTATCGCGATCGAGCGTCGATGGGGGCGCGATACTGTTTTGTCTGTGTAAACGACGAGTTATTTGATAATTTCTTATAATTAAACGCATTATAAAACGTAGTAGAGGTAGTTTCATTTGATAATAAACCGTGTTACAATTCAAGTCACAGAAAAAGGTAGGCAGTGAAAAGATTCGATGTTGCTTCAACGTATTTTGACATATGGGAAGGCTGCCAGTAAAATAAAGTAAACAAAAACGTTAAGTATATGTCCCACAGCTGGGAAAAGGTCTCCTCTGAACAGAGGTTATTACACCTCCGCGGATTGGTAAACTTCATGTATATTTCTTTTCTGAATTGATCAGAATGATCAATCAGAGTTTAACCATCATTTTGGCAATTTAAATATCATTTGACAGCTGATTAGTTGACTTCTACGATGATGAGTGTTTCAGAAACCGAGCGTCAAGGCACTCGCAACTGAAGTGCTTGTACCATCACCAAGAGAAGAATTTCAATAGAATTTTCATTTATACATTGTAGTTTTAGTCAATTGAAAAACAACCGAAGCCAATTACTTCAAAATGACGATGACACGACAAAAACATTTCAAATTTTGTACTACAATTGTTACTACAAAGTTTGTAGTACAGAGACGTATGTACATAAAAATTCCTCGCCGAGCCCGTATCCACTGCTCCAGAGCAATATAACATTATTACAAAAAAAAACAAAACCCCACCTACATACCGACAGGTATACGGCAGAGATAAAATGAAAAATAAAAACACCAAAAAAATATTCATAGCTATTTTAAGTACGCATAAAACCGTTCGAAGCGAGGTGCGCGTTCGGAATAATGCTTGCCGTATCCCATCAAGAAAGTGTAATCATTTATGAACAGAAAAAAAAAAACAACGGTTCGAGAACGAAGGGTATACGCGGTGAAATATTAAGGTCGTTCAGTGTACGTATACCATATAGGACGTGCCCGGAGGGGTGGGCGGTGAGGTGGGGTGGGGGGAATGGCAAGAAGTTCCTCGTTTAAGTCGGATTAAAAGGTTACATAAACGTAATGTCGAATAGGTTTCGCTTATGTACAACACATAACTTTATCTTCCTCCCCCTTTTTATCTCCCTTCTTTACGCGCGTTATGATGATTAGAAAATATCGAGGAGCATAAACGAGTATTAACGATGCTAGACATAAACTCGGAAAATACAGATTAAAAAAATGTACATGTAAAAATTATCAAGGAAAGATACTTTAATGGTCGAATTACACGTATTACGTAAATTTTAAAAACTTAAGTCATTTAAACTGCAAGTAGCCTTTCGTATGTTACACTATAAACGTTAGACAAACTGTTTAGTTTAGACTGTATAAATAAAAAATGAGAAAAAAGACGGTAAATTAGTTTTATTTACCAATCTGTGTGAAGTTGATAAAGTACCTACAACCATTATTATTTAAATTTTAAACGTAGAAATGGCCAACGAAGCTAAGAAACATACAAAAAACTTCCTAGCCTATAAACTGTCCACTGAGTAGGGCTTATAAACTGTCCACTGTGGTAGGGCCACGCAACAGTGTTCCAGAGCAACAACACTGTTGAGTTCGGTAGCTGGGGCCCACTTTGGTAGCAACGCATCTCCAATCCTCCGGGTGTTGCAAATATCCATGGGCGGCGGTTATCACTTAACATCAGGTGAACCGCAAGCACGTTTGCCACTTTGTCACATAAAAAAATATATATATAAAAATTCTAAAATGTAAGAAGCGAAGAAACGACCTAATGAATAGGCTATGTTATGCACGGACCTAACGGTACCGTCAGCGGCGGCTTCCTATATACTTGGGCTTAATTAATCGTGGGATATCAGTTATTCGCGAAACAAATCCAGCAATGTGCCACGCCAGAGCTATTAACTAGATTCCATAGTTACGTGCAGCATTAGGCGAATACATCATCAGTCCGCAATTTCTTATTAATTTAATCATACACATATGGATGAGTCACTTGCGTGCGAGATGAGTAGCGCCGTTAAACGTCGATAAAATTGTGACTCTCACGAAATATTATAGAAACTGTTGAGTATTTGGAATCGGATCGTAAATTTAATATTGAGTATATTAAATCCGAATACTTTAAAAAAATATTATACAGCGTGTCGTTACCAGCGCGACAATAAATGAACACACATATAGAGGATAACTTTTTAAAATTGTTTTAAGCATTTACATTCTTTAAACATCAATATTTACCGAGTTATTAAAATTTCCAAAACAAACAATTTTAGAACACCCTTACGTATAAAACTGTAACGTAAAGTTCATTTGTAAAGGTCACAAAGCATATGAATGGGTTGAATGAGTTTAAAAGAGACAAAACATACTGTTAGAAGAAGAGGCTTGTAATGCGACGCTGTGGCAAGAAGTTGAGGCAACTTCTTTCAGAAGTGGTCAACCAAGGTGGTGAATCCAACCCAGAGTCCTAACCGATTAAACAGCACAACAAATCTTCTACTCTGAATCTGAATTAAGTAATGCACAGGTTTTAAGAGAGGTATGTTCGACGCCACACGGACTGACGTCCTCAACACTTTTATAGCAATTGTCAAAACTTAGACATATAAATATAAACCTTCATTATTTATAATTTTAGTTGTTGACTACCGTAATTGACGCCAAAAAGAGAGGCAACTGAACAGAATGCTGCAGTAAAAAAACTACATCGCCGATTTTCAGTGATTACTTAAAAACCCACCACAAGCAATTTCGAAGTTTGGCTCTAAAGAATAAAATTCTGATCAGCCTTGTCCTTTTACTTAGCTATATAAATATTTTGAGCCAATAGACTTTCAAGGATGTACGCCGCAGAGGGAGAGAATATAATGGGTTATTTTTATTATAATGTGAGAAGGTAGCAAACTAGCTGGAGGTTCACCTGATGTTAAGTGATAACCGGTGCCCATTGGCAACAGCCGTAGGGTTGCAGATGCGTTGCCACCTCTTAATAAAGTGGGCCCCGGCTACCTCACTCACCAGACGAAACGCAGAAGTGTAAACCACTTCACGCCGGTCTTCTGTGAGGTCGTGGTACTTACACGGACGGACCTGCCCATTCGTACAACAGACAACGAACACCGCAGTGAAACTTGTTTAAAAATATTGTTTTACGATTTTCTATTTTCCACCCGCATCAATACTGGCCGCGGAGATGTGCTTAATGGTATTTTGGATGTACAAATCAGTTCTTATGGACGAGTATTAAGGTCGATTATAATAAAGTTTTATTTCGCTTTTGGAATTAACAACGCAGGCTCGGGTTTCGGATACACGAGCTGGGTGTTGTCGTATCGCTTCCGCGTTAAAATGTTATCACTTTTATAAGGAACTCAATTTGACGTTTATCAGTATTATTCTTTAATTCATTTCTAATATCTTTAGATTTAAAAGAAATTCAACAGTTCTTTTTCCCAAAACTATTTTTTTTGCTTTCGCTTTTACTCGAATGGGCGAGTTCGTCCTGGGAAGAACCAACTCACAAAAGAAGTATGAATTTTAAGTGTTATACTTCTGCCTTTTTTGAACACATTACTGCACATTATTAAAACCTGGCGACGCATCTGCAACCCTACGGGGGGACATTTCCGTGGGCGGCGATTAACATTATTGTGAACCGTCATCTGTCATTATGAGCCTCTTATAAAAAAAATATTCAAAACGTGCAGACTTCAAAAGACGCAACTATCGTGTGAGAGATGAACAAAAGTGTCGGCTGAAAAGTTTGAGTAGAGTTGTTGGCGTCGAGCGCTCCGCGAGCATGCACAGGGAGCCGCGTAGCATACCTTCCTGCTCCGTCTGTATGCTGGCGACGACGCGCTCGCCGCCGCGCGCCGCCTGCCTCGCCTCCTCCATCTCCCTGGCGGCGGCCGCCAGTATGTTGTTCACTGCCGTGTGGGTGCCGGGGGTGTCGTCGCGGCGTCGCCTGCGGATCTCCTCCGCCCGCATCATCGACTGCTGGTACATGTGTATCTGGACGGGCG